CCTCCACCCCCCCTCCGTCTGACCCCCGCCCCAGGCCAAGCTAGGCCCAGGCAGGAGGTGGGCAGATCTGGGAGGACCCCCAGCCCCTGCACAGGGAAGAGGAAGAGGGATTCCCAACCTGGCCAGCCCCCGGGGCTCAGCCTCAGCGAGCGGCGCGGCTTTCCCTGCCGGTGCAAGTGTGCACAGACCCGGTGCCCACGGGCCTAAAGCCCGGGTGTCGCGTGCCTGGCCGGGCACAAGGCTGTGCCTGCGAGCGCCCTCTCCTTGGAAGAAGTGGCCCCTTCTGTGCCTGAGGGGCTCAGCGCCTCCATGCTTGACGCGGAAGTTTTGTGGGAACGTGGCTGTGTTGGCGGGAGATCCCTCCAAGCTTCCCCAGCCCACTGTCACCTCGGCGCCCCTTCCCAAGACCCTAGGAGACCACAGCCCAGAGGGGGCGGAGTCTCAGCGGGTGGCCTGGAGGCGGCCTCCTAACCCCCCCTCCCAGCCCCATTGGCGCCAATCCGTGGGGGGGGGGGCCGCCCGGGAACCGCCAGCCCGGAAGCCCCCGCAGGAACCCCTGCCTCAGTTTCCCCACCTCGGACAGACTAGAGCTCCCTAGAGGCGCCAGGTCCCACCCCGCGTCCCTGCGACTCCAGGAGTTCAAACTCTCCCTGCTCCCTCTCGGCTGGGAGCTCCGGCCCGGCCAAAGCGGGCGCCCGGGGCGGTGGCAGCGGATGCAGCTCTGGGAAAGATCCCGGCCCCTTCCTCCTCCCCTCCCGCGGCGCGCGGGCTGCGGCCCCCTCCCCGCCGCCCCAGTACCTTTGCCCCGCAGCGGGCCCCGCGCCTCCTCCTTGCTGATCTGAGTAATGACGGCCGAGCTGTCCATGGGGCCGGGCGCGCTCCGCTCCGGCCGGACTCTGGCCCGGGTGCCCGGCCTCCCCCCCGGCTCGGGCCGGAATCGGGGCGCGGGGGGGAGGGGAGGGGTGGGAGGGAGGGATCCCCGCGAGCTTTGGAGGGGAGGGGAGCCAGGTTCTAAGGGGGAGGGGGAGGGAGGGGGCGCGGAGGAAACTTTGTTGCAACACGGAGTTTCCTCCCCTCCAGGCAGATGCAAACATGGAACCCGGGCGCTGTTTCAAGGCTCCCCCTTAAAAGGGCAACGGCTTCGGCGTGACCTGGACTCGGCCGCGGCTTTCATCACTTCTGGGGCCCGCACGGCTCCGCCGGCGGGGAGGCGGGCCGGGCCGGGTTCCTGCCGCGATCCGGGGGGCGTCCCCTCCCTTCCTGCCGCTGGCCGGCGGGACAGAGCCTCTGCGGCTGCGTGGCACAGCCAGCACCCGGCCCAAGGTGCCAGGCCTCCGAGTGCCCGGAGCCAAGGCCCGCCCCGCCCGCTCCGAGTGCCCGAGGGCGGCGCGATTCCACCCTGTGCTCCTACGTGGGCCAGGGACTTGCCACTCCTCGGTTTGCTCATCTGGAAAATGGGATAACACTAACTTATCTGTTAAATGGGTCTTCTTTTCTGTCTGACGTTCGCAGGAACCTCCTTGCAGAGATGTCAGGAAGGAGCACTTGAAATCTCTTTGCTAACCCCGAACAGCTGTGCAAATCCATAAAATTACGTTCTGGATTTGACTCTGTCACCACCCACCGCGGTCTCGGGGCGAGGAGATCGGGTCCGGAGAGTGAAAATTCCAACTTCCTTCCCCCGGGGACGCTCTCTGCCGACATTTTCCGACTGCTCAACTTATGTCCCGCACCCTACCAGCTTCGCCTTCCCGCCTGGAGGCGCTCTCCCCTCCTCCCGCCTCGCCCACCGACCTAGAGAAAATGCCACCGTGTCCATGGGCCTTGCCTGATTCCCTTCCCCCGCCGACGGCCATTCTTATTATTGGAGGGTGCGGGTTCCTGGGACAGACTCGTTCCCAAGTGTCCAGCCTGAAGCCCCGTGCATAGTGCACTCCGCGCGGGACCGCGGGGACTCAGACATCACAGTTACAGGCGTTTAAACACACTGTCCCCGGCTCTGTGGGGACACACCCCAGCCACGCGGGTTCTTGCGGGAAACCTCCATGCGCGCGCCAAGAGGTGTGCGGGTCTTTTTTTCCCGGTTACTAAGTTCCTCCTATCCCTAGTTACTATTCGGGGTTCACAATTTAAAAAATAACCCGAGCCTCGACAACACGCCTCGGCACTTCCTCCCCTGCCCCGGCCTCGGCGGCGGGCGGGGCGAGCCGGGGTGGGGCGGGCGCGTCCTGTCCCGTTTGGCCGGGAGCGCGCGCAGCGCACGTCCGCCGGGGCCGACGACCGGGAGCCGGGAGGGGAGCGCGCGGGAGGGGACTCTAGGGGACCGATGCCCGCCCGCTGCCGGACCCCGTTCTTCCTCCGCTTCCTAATCTCTGGTGTCCTCAGAACCAGCCCCTTCGTATCCCACTGACAGATAAGAAAACAACTCAGAAGGAAGCCATCGGCTCAGGCCCTCCAGCTTGGGCAGGGGCGGAACTGTGGCCCCTCAGCCCAGCGCCTCTCCTCGGTCCAGCCCGGGGGGTGGCGTCTCAATACCTCCGGATGCTCGCCCGCGCTGACCCCAGAAGGAAGTGGCCAGGGACTGTGAAGGGGGCTGGAACTGAACTGGCTGTCCCAGAGATACCCAAAAACAGGCTTGGCTGTCCCCTCACCCGCCATTCACAAACCGAGGTCCCACCCCCAGCACACATCCCTAACTGCCCCCCGCCAAGCCTTTGTCGGTGCGGGTCTCTCACCAGGGGAGACACCGCTCCGGGCTGGCGCACCTCGGTCCGAAGCCTCTGGCTCTCTCCCCATATTGGCGAAAGTGGGTAGGGTGGTACACGCGCCCGCCCCGCCCCAGCCCACCAACTGCTGTACCCCTCTACCCCAGCAGCCGGTCATCACTGTACTCATACATTTATTTGGGTCTCTTTGCATTCCCAGAAAGGACAGGCGTGGGGGCTGCCAGTCGGGGTGGGCGGTGCGTCATGGGGTGGCACAGAACTCAGCAGAATTCAGTTTTGCAATTAAGAGCAAATGTCTTCTCCATCCCCGGCCAAGTGGGGATGGGGGCAGTGCCAAGGGTAGGGTAGGGCAGGGCTCCTGGGAAGAGTCTAGGTGCAGGGCCACTCCCATTCCCAGGGTGTGACAGCCTTCCTCCCTCTGGGGATGGAACTCAAAGCTACTATGGAGGTGAGGGCAGCCCCGAACAGGGGCCTCCTTGTCCCCAAATCGACTTTGTCCTGCCCTCATCGCTAGCCCCCTATGCTAGGCCCAGGGTCGCCCCTTGGTTGGCCCTCTGCTGTCTTCTTTGACCCCAAGTTCTAAGCCCTAGGCTTAAATGTTCACGTGACCAATCTATGCATCCTTTTGTCCACCCCCCTCCCCACGTCCTGCTCCACAGATCTGAGAACTCCCTAGAGGGGTTCCTGTCAGACTTACTGCACACACCAGAACCCTACTCCTGGCACACACCCCCTCCCTGGACTGCCCCGCATCCTATCCAACTTTCAAAATTCTTACAAAAGTCACCTTCTCTACCCCTGAGCTCTCTAAGTTAGGGTCAGGTGCCTTTCACCTCATCCTGTTATTCAGTGGCTTGTCCTTTATTTACTTAGCTGTCTCCTGGAGTGTCCACGCTCCTGGATAGCTGGCACCTTCTCTAATTCAGAACTCTCCCTTCCCGCCTCTAACACAAGGTCTGGCACAGAATTGGCACCCAGTTAATGCCAAATGAATTGGCCACAGGAATGGGCAGCGGGTACCTCTAGGAAGCTGCAGAAGGATATGGGAGATGCTTTTCTTCACCACCCACCCGCCCCATTCTTCAGCTCTAGGGTCCTGTCTTGTCCAAGGACAAGCCTGGAGAAGGGGGATGGGCGATCCTCTTGCCCCGACACCCTCTCGGGCAGTTGCTCTGCCTTCTCCAAGACGTGTCATCTCCCTTCTCTCCTTGAGGGCCCCACTCTCATCGTTGCCCTTTTAAGAAAGAGGAAATTCTTCTCATAAACAAGCGCCCCAACCTGAGCGCCAAGCCGGCCGCCGGACCCGCTGGGTCCCCGGGAAATCCGGGTTACTTTCAGACACCGCATCTGCCCCAGGCTCAACTTAGGGATAAGGTGCAGCGACCCCTCCTCGCTGCGGTTCTTCGCAACTCCGGGGCTGAGGTCTGAAGGACTGGCGGAGTCTGGAGGAGGGACTTAGGGGAGCCTAGAAACAGCCTAGGGAGCGTCTGTAAAGTGCAGCCTCTGCACCGAGCGAAGGGGTGCCCGGTTCCTTCCTGCAGCTGAGGGGGTTCCCCGCCACCTCCTGGCCGGGGATCATTCTGTGGCCCCCCGGGCGCGAGATTCTGGCACCAGCCTACCCTGATGGTGCCGCTTGACCCGGAGCGGAGACGCCGAGGCGGGAGTGCGGGCCCTCGGGACTGTCCCTGCCCCTAGGGGGAGCTGGGAGTCAGCACAGAGGGAATGTTAAAGCGCCGCGTGGGAGTCCCGTCCGCCCGGTTCCCTGGGGAGATGACAAATGAATTGGGACTGGAAGGCACGGGCTCTTGGGTTCCTTAAGACTAGAGCCTGAAGGAACAAGAATTGGGCCTTGGTTTTACTGTCTGGAAAACGGGTTGCAAGCGCAGAGCAGGAGCGAACCAGATGGGAGGGGGTCAGACTTGGGGTCTTGCGGGTTTGCGTTCCCAGCTCTTGGGAAGAGGAGGGAATGTTTGTTTAACATTCATCAAACTGTTCTAAGTGCCAGTTTGGAGCCTGGGTCCCTTCCCGTCTTTCCCCTCCCCTCATGGATCAAGTCACTCATATGTGCTCAGTAAATATTTTTTTTAAATATTTTTTTAAAGAGAGAGTGAGAGAGGGAAAGAGAGAAAGAGAGAGAGAGAATTTTAATATTTATTTTTTAGTTCTCGGCGGACACAACATCTTTGTTGGTATGTGGTGCTGAGGATCGATCCCAGTCGGCACGCATGCCAGGCGAGCGTGCTACCGCTTGAGCCACATCCCCAGCCCCCTCAGTAAATATTTTTGAATGATTTTTTAAAGTTCCATGTGCCAGGCACTGCGTTAAAGTGCTTTATACCCACGGCAAGGTTGGTGTTGTCCCCATTTTACAGATGAGGACACAGACCAAGAGATTAAGCCTTTGTTCAAACTAGGAGACAGTAAGTCCCCAAGGACCACCTTTAGTTGATTTGCAAGAGTGTCTGGCTCCATCTTGCTGCCTTCCTGTCCACGCCTGTCTGTGTCCGGGGGCTAGTCTGCCCCTTCATCCCATCTCCCAGCCAGGGCCTGGGGGTCTCATCCAGAGCTTTCCCGACCTGCCTGCCTGTCTTCTAGGAGCCCATACAGGAAGTGCTGGTGGGAGCTGTGGGTCAGAAAGGTGGCCCCATGGGCAATGCAACAGGTCCAGACCTGGGAGAGGGTGACCACAGGGACAGTCAGCCTGGGAGTGGGGGAGAGGCTGAGACCCCAGGGGAGGCCCCTGGTGGCCTCCTCCCACTCTTCCCCACCATTGCTTCCTCCACTTGCCTCCCCTGTTCCTGACAGCCCCACCCCACAGCCCCTGCATACCAGGTAGGCAGTGAGGGCCAGGTAGCCCGCGGCCAGCAGAGCCACAAGGCCGAAGTAGGCTGGGTGGGGCAGGCTGGGCACATAGCTGACCACAAAGTAGAGGTTGATGGCGCAGACCAGTGCCATGATGCCGGAGGTGATAGCTTTGCTCAGCCTAGTGGACAGGCAGGAAGCTCAGGACTGGCTGGATATAGCTAGAGACCTGCATCCCGCCCCTCGTCCAGTGCCCACCGCTAGCTTGGAGCTGGGAGCTGGTACACAAAGCCCTCTTCTCTGAGCTGCGGGGCCTGGTACACACAGAGCCTTGCCCACTTCTGGTCTCCAGGCCCTCCAGCTCCACACTGGCAGGATCTGGCAAGAGGTGAGCTCTAGAAACAGCCCTCACCCCCCACTGGTTTCCCCCACCCACTTACTAGCTGTGTGACTCTGGGAAAGTTCCTCAATCTCTCTGAGCTTCAATTGGACATTGGGGATAACAGTAGTTGCTGCCTCTGGGTGATGAGTACATGGGATGGGAGGACTCACCGGCCATTGGCAAACTCCTGCATGACAGCGGGCATGCTGGTGAACGTTAGGATGGGCAGCACAGCAAAGGGAAGCTGTGGAGAGAGGGGAGGCTGAGGCCGGGACCCTGCCTCCAGTATAAGCAGGGGGTGGGGAGGCCCAGCACCTCAACCTCTGTCTTGTGGCTAGCCTTTGGGGAAGTCCCCTAACTCCTCTGAGCCTGTCTCTGTGCCTTTCAAAGCAGGAGAAAGTATGTGGGGGTGGGGGCTCTGGCACAGGCTGCCTGCGTTTGAATTTTGGCTCAGTCACCTAACTCTGCTCGTCAGTTTTCCCATCTGTAAAACGGGAACAACAGTGACTGGGATTTGGTGAGCCTTGTAGGCCAAGTGCATTTAGGGTAGCGCCTGAGTGGGCTCCATGTGGGGTGGCCGCGGTTCCTGCTGGGCCCTCATCTCACCAGCAGGCTCTGCAGCACGTTGAGCAGGTCGTTTAGGCCTGACAGGTCCCTCAGGTCCCGGAAGACGGCCACGAGCACGGTGGGCAGGATGGCGCAGGAGCGGGTGAGGAGCACCCGGGCAAAGCGGGACCACCGCAGCCTCAGGAAGCCCTGGGGTGGGGAGCGAGCGGGGGTGTGGGTGGCACTGGGGACTTCACACTGGGAGAACACGGGCTTTCCATCTTTGAAATAGGGACAGCTCTGTCCCCCTTTGGTGGAGAGGCAGTGGGTGGAGAGAGCGGAGGTCCCCACCTGTCCCTGATTCCTAAAGACTTTCAAGGGGCTTTCGGGAGAGGGCGCTGTTTCTCCTGCATCTGCGACCTCCAGCGAGTGGCCTCAATTCTCTGAAGCTCACTTTTCTCATCTCAAAAGTGGGACTACGGTGGCACCCCGGGGGCTGCTCAAAGGACCAGCGAGGCCGTGTACCCGAGGCCCCACTAGTGTCCAGGGCGCGCCCGCCTCCCGCCCACCTCCATCACGAACTGTCCCGCGTAGGTGCCGGTCATGGTGGAGCTCTGCCCGGCCGCCAGGAGACCCACCGCCCAGATGTAGAGCGCCGCGGGGCCGAAGAGGCACCCCAGGATCACGCCCTGGAGCGAGGGGCGGGGTCAGAGCTTCGGCCCCGCCCCGTGGGCGGGGACAGGGGGCCCGCTCGCGCCCACCGCCCCACTCGCCGGCGCTTACTCCTTGGTAAATGTCCACCGACACCGTGTCGTTGTTCCTGGGGAAGATGGAGGCGTAGTCGTGGAGGCTGCTGTTGGCACAGACGCTGTACTGCGGCACCGGGCGGGGGGCGAGATGGGGAGCCCAGACTTAGTCTTGGAGAGTCAGACCCCAGGCCTGGGCCGAGGCCAGCAGCTGGAGGTCTGCACCCAGAATCTGGCCAGATTGTGGCTGTCATGGCTTTTTGTCCCCCCCCCTTATGTGAATTCGTTGCCTGTATTTAAAGTTGGGAAGGAGGCCCATGGGACTCGGTTTCCAGCCTCAGAGGAGCTGGCACTACCCAGAAAATCCCGGGGACCCGCGGTCCCCTCTTCCTGCCATCGGAACCGCTTCCCACAGCTCCGAGGCGTCTGACCCCGGAGACCACCGTCTGACCTTGGAGACGCAGTCTGTAGTCCCTGTTTAGTCCCTCTCTCCTTGCACCCAGGGACAGGGTGAAACCCGGGGAGGGTGTGACCCCCCCATCACATGGCAAAGCCCTGGCAGTGCCAGTTCCTGGGAGACCTTGCCTCAGACCTCCCCCACAGGCCTCCAACGCTGACAACCACAGACACAGGTTCAAATCCCAGGAAGCCAGGAGCAGCAGTCTGTTCCTGCTTTCAGCACAAATGTCACCTCCAAGAAGCCGTCCTGACCACCCTGTCCCCCCAGCACAGTTGTTCTTCATCCCACCTTGATTCCTCCCCCAGCACTGAGCAGACTCTGAATCATCCTGCCTTTTCCCAGGGCCGAGGTCGCTGCCTGCTAGTAATTGCCTGATAATGATGGATTGGCTGAGCGGACGGTGGACAGCTGAGGAGAGGGGACCCGGAGCCCGGAGTAGGGACAGAGGCTCAGAAGACACAGCTGGCCTGGCCGCGGTGCCCGGAGTCCCTCAGGAGGGCCAGTGTGTGAGGTGCACAGACAGGGTGAGCCGGCTCACCGCGTCCTGGTTGGTCTTCTGGAAGAAGGCCTGCCCAAAGACGGCCATGACGAAGAGGTTGATGACGAAGGAGACGGAGAGGGCGATGGAGGCCTCGATCAGGAAGTACATGTTGGCTTCTCGGATTTCCGCCCGGCGGGCACGGTCCACCTCCCGGGACTATGAAGATCAACGGGAGAGGGAAGAGCCAAAGTCCTCAGAGTCACACCAGTGTCCCCTACCTTCCCCCTTGCACCTCTGTTCCCTCTAAACCCCAGTTCTTCCGAAGACCCTGTGTGGCAATCTGGTTCAGAACCTGGTCAGCTGCCTCCTTCCTATATCCTTGTCCTTGCCAGCGGCCGCTCCACAGTGACTGGCTATGAGAATGAAGGAAGACGGGCCTTTGAGATCCCCCTGTAAACACTTGGTTTATTTCTGCCTCAGGGCCTTTGCACTCGCTCTTCCCTCTGCTTGCAATAGCTTCTCCCTGTCTTTGGTCACTGTCTACCAGACTTCTCTGCTGTTTCCTTCAGAGGACCTTTCACAGTCCACAGTCCCTTCCTTTGTTTGCTTGATCCTTGCCCATCTCCCCTCCTAGAATACAGGCTCTGGGAAGGCAGGGCCTTGACTGCTTTTTCAACGTTGACCCTTAGCTCTCTGCACACAGCAGATGCTCCTTTTTAAAAAAAAATTTATTAAAATTTAAAAAAAAATTATTAAAAATTTTTTTGTAGTTGTAGATGGACAGAATGCCTTTGCTTTATTTGTCTATTTTAATGTGGTGCTGAGGATCGAACCCAGTGCCTCACACGGGCTAGGCCAGCGCTCTGCCGCTGAGCCCCAGCCCCAGCTCTTGATGCTCCTTTCCCCCCTCAGACCGCGAGGGAGCGGGGCGGGGGGGGGGGGGGGGGGCGGGGTTCCAGGCGTGGGGGCGGGGCCAGCGCGGCTCTCAGGAGGCCTGTCTTCCTCCCCCCTCCAATCACCTTGACCAAGGCTGAGTGCAGGTAAATATTGTGGGGCATGATGATGGCGCCCACGATGCCCACGGCCTGCAGCAGCTCTGAATGGCCGCAGCCCGGGCACGAGGGCAGGAACAGGTCTCGAAGAAGCGGTCCCTGCGCCGGCCGAGCCACCACGTACTGTGGGGAGGAGAGGGTCAGCCACTAAAGCCGGACACCGCCTCTCCCTCCAGCCCAGCACCTGGGGGCTTGTCCTAGGGCGCTTCCTCCACCCCTGGGCCTGGCTTCCTACCTCGTAGCCGAAAGTCAAGGCCATGATGGTGATCAGGAATCCAAAAAAAGCTTCCAGCTTCCGCAACCCTAGGGGCAGAGCAAGCCCACCCACCAGAATCCCCTGTAACACCGCAATTTTAATGGCTGATATTTTGAGCACTTGGTTCCCGCGCTGTGCCAAGGCTTAAGGTGTTGTACCCACCTGAGCCACTGTTTCCCCTGTTGCAGATGGAAAAACAGCTGGGCCTCCAGGGCGCGCAGGGGGGAGTCAGCCCCGCCCAGCGCAGCCGGCCCCAGGCTCAGCGCCCAGCCTCGTGCCTCCCACCTGGGCCAGGAGCGCTCACTCACCATAGTTATCCAGGAAGAGGAAGAAGAAGGTGTCCACAATGGTGATCAGGACGCCACCCCAGAGCGGGATTCTGAAACCACAGTGGCCCGGGTCAGCCCAGCCTGGTCCAGTGTCTCCCACTACAGTCCTCAGCGCAGGGATGGTGCGACCAGGCCTCTGGGGTGCAGGAGCCCAGGACAGCAGGCAGGGGGGAGGGAAGCCCTGAGAGTCAACCCTTCACTCCAGGCCCAGCGAGGCCTGCAGGGGGCCAGGAAGGCCGGAGGCTCAGAGCCATAGTCCTACATAGAGCTCTGTAAGTCACATCTGTGCGACTTTACAGAGGTCACTTTACATTCTGAGAATTGGAGCAGCAGACCTATGTCAGAGGGGGCAGCAAGATAAAACGGAGTCCAGGAGGTACATGGTCCGGGAAAGAAATAGCAGCTCTCCCCAGCCCTGGACTGAAGGGAGGGTGCCCACGGGGTGGTACCGTCCAGCTGAGAGCAGGTTGAAAGCAATGGCTGTGCCGATGACCTCCTGCATGTCGGAGCCCACGATGGCGAGCTCGATGGTCAGCCAGAGGAGGGTGCGGGGCACCTGGGAAGAGGAGCCGGTCCTTCATCAAGGTCCTTCATCAAAGCGGGTCAGGCACTTGCCTGCAGTTTCAGCCTCATGCCCACCTTTCCTTCCCTGTACTGTGCTGCGGGGCTAGCCGCCTGCAGACCACCCTCCCCAGGCAGCCTCCCCAGGCAGCCTTGCCAGGCTTTGGAAGCGGTGCTTATGCAGGATGGCGGTGTTTTGGATTCCACTTCTGTGTGTCCCCCCCAAGATGCATGTGCTGAAAGCTTGGTTCCCTGGCAGCAATGTTGAGAGGTGGTAGAAATTTTAAGAGATGGGTCCTAACTGGACTTGGTGGTGCACCTTGTAATCCCAGGGGTTCAGGAGGCTGAGGCAGGAGGATGGCAAGTTCAAAGCCAATCTCAGCAATTTCGGGAGGCCCTAAGCAATTTAGCAAGACTCTGCCTCAAAATAAAAAGGGCTGGGGAAGAGGCTTAGTGGTTAGGTGCCCCTGAATTCAATCCCAGTACTAAAAACAAAACAAAACAAAAAGAGGTGGGGGCCTAGAGGAAGGTAGGGAGGTGATTGAGGTGTTGCCCCCCAGAAAGGATTCATGTAATTCTCATGGGACCTTAGTTAGTTCCCAAGAGTGTGAATTGTTACAAAAGAGCAAGCCTGGCCCCTGAATGGCTCTGACTTCCTGTCTCACTATGGCTTCCTGTCTGGCCGTGACATCCCTTCTTCCTGTGTTCCTGCCATTGTGATGCCACGTGCCACTAGAGTCAAGCAGAATCAGCGCCACACTCTTGGATCTCCAGAACTTGAGCTATATAAACCTGTTTTCTTCACAATAAACCCAACCTCAGTTATTTTGTTATTGCAGTGACAAAAAAACTAAGAGATTGGGCAGAGAGAAATCATTTCCCCTGATTCTGGTGGTGTTTCTGGCGGGGTCACTAGCAAGGACACCAGCTAACTGAGCTCCAGCCATAGTTGTGGTCATTTAAGCAGTGGCCACAATGCTTCTGGAAACTTAGTGGCAAATGATGACTCTTGGGCTCATGCCAGGAGTATATCAGTTTTCTGAGCTTTGGTGAAACCTTCTGCCTTTGCTCCTCCAGCCCTTCAAACTGAGTGCCTGCATTGAATCCTTGGAAATGTCTCATGGTATAATTTCTGTTTTCCTGCCTGGACATGGACAGCAACTACCCATGGTAAAGCCCAGCAGTGACCTTCCTTGAGCTGATGCCTTTCAGTTTCTGCCTTGGGCAATCACATCCCCAGGTTCTAATTTCCCCTTCTGTAAAACACGTGTTTCACCCCGATGCCCCACGAGTCTGTGTGCTGTTTGTTTGAGCCTCAGTCTTCTCATCTGTCACCTGGGCTTGCTTGCCGCACTCGGGTGAGATGATGGACAGCTTTCATTTGATCATGGAAGCTGTGAGTAGCTGCTCAGGGTTCGAAATCTGTGGGTGCTTCCTGTCCAGGCCCCCTACACTTACCTTCGGGTAGTAGAGGTGGCAGACCTCGCCCAAGTCCTTGCCCGTCACCACGCCTAGCCGGGCAGCCAGTCTCTGGCACAGCAGGCCCAGCACGGTGGCCCAGAGCAGCACCCAGAGCAGCTGTGAGGAGGCAGGGAGAGCTTCATCCAGGGGGGCTGTCCTGGAAGGCTGCAGGCTGGGGACCCCTAACCCAGGACACCCCGTGGGGAGAGGCAGGAAGACAGAGCAGGAACCAGCTTCGCAGGCTGCCCCGGGGGACCCCTGCCTGACCCATTGAACCAGGAAGACCATCTCCCTGGCAGCCCTGAGGCCCCTGGCCAGCTGAGGGCTCTGCTCTCAGCCTGGTCACCTCCCACCCCACCGAGGCCCCGACTCGGTCACTTTGAATCCAGCCACGGCGCCAGCCTGCAGGTCCGACTCGATGTTTCCCGGGTCCAGGAAGGCGATGCTCATGAGGAATCCAGGGCCCGTGAATGCCCACAGTCTCCGGAGGCTGAAGGTGCCCTGGTGGGGGAGCAGAGGGAGGAGGGCCTGGGGACGGGGGTGGCAGCACCTGCCTTGGCCGGCCCCTCCATCCAGGCTCCATTGCCTGTCCCCAGAGCTGCCCTGTCCCCAGACATGGCAGGGGACACGTGTGGAGGAACCGGCAGGGTTTGCTGAGTCACGGAGGATCTGCTTTCTGAATTGGTCACGGTCACTGACCGCAGTCTCAGCAGCATCCTGCTCTCGACTTGCCCACCTCTTGCCGCCTTGACTCAGCAGGTCCCCGGGCTCCAAGAGGGGAGCACTCTGGGGGTCAAGCCGCCCTGGTCCGGTTCCTCGCTCCCTAGCCCCTCTCAGACCACAGGGGTCTCTCTGGGGTCCACTGAGGCTGGGGTCCCCCACCCCATTCCAGGGCTTGGCCTGTCAGTCAGACTAGAAATCTGCTAGATTCCTGTGACAGCTTCTTTGGAGGCTAAAATGAACCTGGAGGCGGCCATCCTAATTCACCCGGGACCCTTTCCCTTCCTAGAAAGCTGAGATGCATTCAGAAATGGCTTCATTCAGAAAGCCATCGGTCACTTTCAGACAACCATGGCGTTTTCCAGCTAAGGAAGGGGCAGTTCCACTGTCACTGCTGCCTCGGGATCCCATCAACCCTGGAAGCCCCCAGGAAGTTCCAGAAGGCCTACCGGCTTCGCGTCTGGGATGGGAATCTTCTCACTCAGGTAGGTCTCCCTGGGAGGCGCGTGTTGGGGCCCTGGGCCAGGAGGGCTGGAGATGGAGCCATAGCTGGGCCTGCTCAGCCCCCAGGGCCTCCCGTCACCTGTGGGGGGTCCAGGAGGCATATTGAGTGCCCTGCCTCTTTCTAGAGCCCAGACTTCAAGCCATGGCCTCCTCCCGCTCCTCTTCTTGGCAAAGTAGAGAAATGAAAGTCCTTGGCCTTCATCTGGGGCCCCTCACCTCCACCCCTTGACCTGATATTTCAGATGTGTGGGAACTGGAAGTTTCAGAATTACTTTCCCAGAATTCCCCACACTCAGATCTCAGAGGTGTGAGAGAGACACCAGACTCCGGGAAGGGCGAGTTGAGGCCACCATGTCCTCCATCCCTGCCTCCTCCCGGGACGAGGAAACCCAGGGGCCCTGTCGACAGAGACCAGACGTGGGAATAACAGGCCCTTCAAGGGGGGAAGATCTCAACTCCGGTGGGCCTGGGTCAGAACTGGGGTCCTGGCCACCACTCCCCTGGGGCACTGGGGGCTTCCTTGCCTCTCAGACCTCCCCAGACCCAGTGTCCTCCTCCACCCTGCCCTCCTCATCAGGGGAGCCCCTGGAGGCCACTACTCACTCGTCATGAGGACACAGGCGTCCGGTGCGTGGTGAGTTTGGGGATGTGCCGGGCACTCCTCGGCCTGCTCCCGCTCTGTGGGGCTGGTGCGAGTGACTCTGGGAACACCCCCTCCTGCCCATCACCCTGGCTCCGTCCCTTACATCACTGGACGCGGACACTCACATACTCACGCTTGGGCGTTGTGAAACTCTCCAAAGGCAGAAGTGGCCACTCTGGCGGAAGGGTCTGGTCACCCACAACATGGTTCCTCTCTCGGGTGCCCTATGCCCTTCAACATCTCTGGCTCCCCTCCAGGCTCCCCATGTTCTGTGTCTCCCAAATGAACTCTGATTTCAGGCACTTCCTGAGTAGCAGGTTGGAACTTTGATCTCCCTCATTTCCAGGGAGGGGAGAGGGTTGAGGAGAGTTCCCTAACCAGTGGCCCTGCTTCAGTCACACGCCTGCACAATGGCGCCTCTTGGAAATGCTCAGCTATGGGCTTCAGGGGGATTCTGGGTTGGTGAACACACTGGGTGCTAAGTGAACCACATCTGAGGGGCAAGAGAAGCTCCATGCACCGCCCTGGCCCCCCAATAACCTTGCTCTGTGTCTTCCTCCTATTCAGTTGTCCCTGGGTAAATCCTTTATGATAAACCTATGATATTAAGTAGGGTTTTCCTGAATTCTGTGAGTCACAGATTATCAAAACGAAGGGTTGTGGGAACCTCCAGTTTGCAGCCAACTTGGAAAGAGGTGTGAATAACTTAGGGACCCGGTACTTGCAATTGGCATCTAAAGAAGGGAGCCAGCCTGGTGGGACTGTCTAACTTGCTTGTGTTAACCCAGGTAGTTAGGATCAGAGTTGAGCTACATGGGAGAACACCCCATGTGGTGTCAGAAGTGTGGAGAGGAAGGAAACCAAGTGGCCCTCTTTCAGAGATTTTTAGGCCCAGAGTTGATCTAGACTAGGATTTACTCCCATATTGAGTCAAAACCTTTAGATGACGCCTGGGAACCCAGGGTGAGAGTGGGGAGCCAATTTCCTGGCATCTCCATGACCGGGCAGGCTAGAGGAACTGGAGAGATGGCAGTGTGGGGACAGGGGAAAGGAATGGGTCCAAGGGACAAGGCACCCTCATGGCTTGTCACCACGCAATCCTATTGCACAAGGTACCACATCATCCTGGCCCCTGAGGTCTGCACACATTTCCCAATCACCAATCCGGGCTCCTGTGGGCTTGGCGGGCTGGGACTGGGAGTCTTGCTGTCTGCGAATTTGGTGGGGGGGGGGGCAGCTTTCCAACAGCTAGGAACTCAGTCAATGTAACTGATCATGCATTGATCAGTGTCCCTCACAACCTCTAAGTTACAGAACAGGGGGTCTGTGCCATGGTCAAGAGCAGAGATCCTGGGCAGAGACTCAGAGAGCAGAAGTTCTAAAAGAGCGGCAGAAATCTACAGAGATATCCCCAGAATCTGGGGGGTGGTGCTGAATGTCAACCCCTGCCCAGTGCAGGTGAAATTTCATAATTCTCAGTTCACTCAAAATGGGTCACAGACTTAAATGTCAGTGTGCAAGTATCAGAGTTTTAAGAAAATAAACAGGAGAAAATGTTTCAGATCTAGAACCAAATGAGGGCTTCCTGGACTTAATCACCAAAAGCCTGATCCATGAAGGAGAAAACAGATGAATTGGACCTCAGATAAAAATTAAAGACATTTTCAAATTAAAACCTTTTATTTCAAATAGAAATCTTCTGCTCTATGAGAGACCCTGTTAAAATGATTAAAAGATAAGATATAGCTGGGCGTGGTGGGGCACACCTGTAATCCCAGCGGCTCTGGAGGCTGAGGCAGGAGGATCTCGAGGTCAAAGCCAGCCTCAGCAATTTAGCAAGACCCTAAGCAACTCAGCAAGGCCCTGTCTCTACATGATATATAATAAAGGGCTGGGGATGTGGCTTAGTAGTTAAGTGCCCCTGGGTTAAACCCCTGGTACAAAGAAAAACAAAACAAAACAAGAAGATAAAGATTTGTAGATAATGTTTGCAAATCACAGTGCAAGGGACTATTATCACAGTAGATAAAAATCTCTTAGAATTTAACTCTCAGGATCTGATCCAGGGAGTAGAAGAGGGGTGCTCTGGAGCAGCCCCCGCTCCCACCCCCGAAGCACTGAGGGGCCTCAGCAAATGGCTTTCTTGCTGGCCGCTTGCGGAGTGAGTAGACCCTTTGGGGGTTTGGATTCAGGATTTGTTCCTTGTGTCCAAGACTTTGACAAGAAACTAACAGAGGCAGATGCTGACCTTCAAATCTTGATAGAACAACTAACGCTTTTTGATGACGAGCTTCAAAACTGTAAAGATGATGAACAGAGAAAGAAAATTGAAACTCAAAGAAACAACAAAGAGCAAGGCAGAGTCTATTAAACACCGCATTGTGTTGCTGCAGATCGCTAAAGACCAGGGTAATGCGGAGAAGCACGCAGATGGAATTATCAGTGCTGTTAATCCTGTGGATGCAATATGTCAACCCAGTCCCTGGGAACCCGTAGCAGCACGGTGCCATCCCAGACTGTCTTACCTCCAGAACCAGCTCAGCTGTGTGAGTCAGAGCAGCGTCCGTCTTCCTTACCCCTGGGACCTGGGTTAGCTACCTTGGGACATCATCAGACTCCAACACCAGATAGCACAGGCAGTGGGCATTCACCACCTAGTAGCAGTCTGGCTTCTCCAAGTCATGTCACCTTGTCTCCAAACACAGTCCCAGAGTTCTCTTACTCTAGCAGTGGAGAGGAATTCTGTGATGCCGATGGATTCCATGGGGTGGCTCATCCCCAAAGAGCTTAATAGATTCTTCTGGTTCTGCCTCCTTCTTGACACACAGCAGTTCGGGAAATAGTCTACAGCGCCCAGATACCACAGAATCACTGAATTCTTCATGTCCAATGGTACAAGTGGTGCTGACCTTTTTGATTCACGTGACGATAGAGAGGGTGACGGGGAGGCAGGGTCAGTGTTATCATGCACCTCTCGTCACAGGTTAGGCTCCGAATGGGTCTTCCTCAGGTAGTTCTTCCAACATTTATTCTTGAAAGATCTCTCTTAGAAATGTACGCAGACTCTTTTGCACATCTGGACCTGGTGGTGAGCATTCGTGACCAGAAAGATCCCAGGGATGGAACGGTTCAGGTTGTGAAATGGCACCTCTCCGCCTTTCATGCAGGAAGGACAGGATCGGTTGCCAAAAAGCCATACGACCCCATTTTGGGTGAGATCTTTCAGTGTCACTGGACATTACCAAATGACACGGAAGAGTCCTTTCAGAAGGACCCGTTCCCTGGGTTTCCAAAAACATGTAACATCCGCGGCTGAGCAGGTTTCCATCATCCACCCTTTTCAGCCTTTTATGCTGAATGTTTTAACAAGAGAATCCAATTCAATGCTCAGATCTGGACTAAAGCATCATTCCTTGGGGTGTCCATTGGGGTGCACGACATAGGGTGAGGCTGGGTCTCAGGGCTAGACTATGATGAGCATTACCTTCTCACATTCTCCAATGGTTAAGGAAGGTCTACGCTCACAGTGCCCTGTGTGGAACTAGGAGGAGATGCAATATTAATTGTTCCCAAACTGGCTAGAGTGCAAACATCGTCTTCCACACTAAACCTTTCTATGGGGGCAAGAAACAGAATTACTGCTGAGTTTTTTTTCTCCAAATGACAAGAAGTCTTTTTGCTCAATTGAAGGGGAATGGAACAGTGTCATGTATGCAAAATGCGCAACAGGGGAAATTCGGTCTTTGTAGATACCAAGAAGTTGCCTGTAATGGAGAAGAAAGTGAGGAAGTTGGAAGATCAGAATGAATATGAGTCCCGCTGCCTTTGGAAGGAAGTCGCTTTCAGTTTAAAAAACAGAGACGTGGATGCAGCAACTGAAGCAAAGCACAGACTTGAAGAAAGACGAAGAGCAGGAGCTGGAGGAAGGAAGGAGAAGGAAACTCAGGGGGAGACAAGGTTCTTCCGTGAAGATGGAGGAGCCATTACTGAACCGTCTTGGTGCTGGGAGGCAGTAGGCTGGGACATGGGTCTGCACAGGGCGGGTCGTCCAAAATCAGCAGCACTCTTCCTCTGGGAGCAGCCATCACTCCCTTCTTACTGCAGTGGTTCCTGCTGCAGACGAGCTGAGGATCGAACCTGGGCCGCATGCATGCCAGGCGAGCGCTACCAGTTGAGCCACATCCCCAGCCCGAGCATCCCTTTCTCTACAGCAGTTAAGACTTTGACTTCGGTCCTGGGAAAACTGGAAGTTTTGGAACACGTGTGCTGCTGTTCCAGACCCATGCTCTGAAGACTCACCCTCTGTGCTCTTGTCCTACAGACTCTTATTTCTTCCTTCATGTAATATACCTAGTGGCAGATTTTTCATAAATCTTCCATCTATTATTAAAAAAAAATTATACAGGGCTGGGGTTGTGGCTTAGCAGTAGAGCACTTGCCTAGCATGTATGAGGCACTGGGTTCGATCCTCAGCATCACCTAAAAATAAAAGGTTATTGGGTCCACCAACAACTAAAAAAAAAAAAAAAGAAAAAGAAAATTTTAAAAAATTCCAACAGAAGTGACCAAAAATCATGAGCAGGGGCTGGGGTTGTGGCTCAGTGGTAGAGGGCTTGCCTTGTATGTGTGAGGCACCAGGTTCAATCCTCAGCACCACATACAAATAAATAAATAAATGAAGATATTTTTAAAAAACCATGAACAGTAATGTGGTGGGGGGTGGGGAGTAGTTAGGAGGATTAGGTGAACTCTAGATAGGGGAAAGGGGAAAAAAGGAGGGAGGGGGCATGAGGGTAGGAAAGACAGTGGAATGAGATGGACATTATTACCCTAAGTACATTATGAAGACACGAATGGTGTGACTCTACTTTGTGTACAATCAGAGAAATAAAAAATTGTGCTCTATATGTGTAATATGAATTATAATGTGTTCTGCTGTCATATATAACAAGTTAAAATAAAAAATGGAAAAAAAACCCCCATGAACAGTCACTTCACCAAAGAGGATGTACAGATGGCAAAAAATACATGAAA